TGCTTGCTTGTTTGATTTTCGAGACAGGGTTCCTCTGCTTAGCCCTGGCTGTCCTGGAACTCACTATGTAGACCAGGCTGGCCTCGAACTCAGATATCCGCCTGCCTCTGCCTCCAGAGTGCTGGTATTAAAGGCGTGCACCACTGCTGCCATTATTTTTACTTTTAATTGTGTGCATGCCCATGTCTCTGCGTGTGAACATGTGCGTGTGAGCACAGTTGTGTGGCAGCCAGAAGAGGCTGTCGAATTCTCAGGTGCTTGACCCATGGGTGGTGGTTGTGAGCCACCTGACAAGGGCGCTGAGAACTGAACTCTGGTCCAGACAAGAATTTGTACTTGCTCTTAACTGCTGAGCCATCTCCCCAACCCTACAGACTTTACTTTTGATCAGGAAGGTGCACTCTAAGAGGCAACACCTCGAGACAGGAAGTGAATTTGGTTTTCATTCTAACTCAGGTGAGGGTTGGTGGCTGTGTCTTTTCCCAGGAGCTGAGGTCTAATCTAACAATGTTATATCAGTTCCCTGTACCAAGAAGAAAAGAGTCACTTCAAATTCTTGGACTAGAGCGCAGGCCTGTGTGTAAAGGAATGGGGAGGATTTGCGCGAAACACATTTGCGTGAAAGTCTTACCACGTCCAGAGATAAAAATATTTCGTTTTCTTGTCCTAAAACTGGGTTTTATGGCATCCTTGGTGTCTGCTACACTTTGCTTAACTTGCGCCTGGCTCTCATTCTGACCCCCAGATAGTCCGGATGCTTGCCTCTCACTAAGCTCTCTCAGTTTGCCAGCAGGATGGATGCCAGATGTTAAGAGGCTTGCTCAGCTTTGGAGACCCTAGGGATGGAGGGTCAGTTCCTGTCCCCACTCTGGGGCTGCCAGGGCACGCTGTCCAGAAACAGGCTCTCTCAGCCCAGCAGTCACCTTCTGATCCTACAGACCTGGTTGGAGGCCAGGGTCAACTTCCTCACTGTATTTGGCCAAGTCTGCATGGCCTAAGACTTTCTCCTTCAGTCCAGCCATTTTGCCATAACCTTTGACCTTCCCAGCTGCCCACTGTACCAGCATTCCAGGAAACCCAAGATCTTTGTACAAGCTGAAATATTGATCCTCAAAATGAGAGCTGGGGGCGTGGCTATTGCTTTCAGTTTTGTGTGTATGGTTTTATTTTTGTTGTTTTGAGACAGGGTTTTTCTATTATGTGGCTCTGCCTGTCCTGGAACTCACCTCTGACTCCCTAGTACTGGGATGAAAGGTGTGAACCAAAATGCTCGGCTTTTTCAAAGTTTTGAAACTTTTTTATTTTTAGTTTTGTGTGTGTGTGTGTGTGTGTACCTCAGTGCAGGCACCCGAAGGGGTCAGAAGAGGCTATTGGATCCCCTAGAGCTGGAGCTACAGGCAGTTGTGAGCAGACTCACACAAATGCTGGGAAGTGAACGTGGGTCCTTGGGAAGAGCACCACTGAGCCATCTCTTCAGCCTCCGTCACTTTCTGCATGAGGTCCACTTTGCCCCTCACATATGACACACAATCTGCATTTTGCCAGCACTTCCAAGTTGCAAACCTGCCGTATACATCAGACCCATTGCCCAGCTAACTTATGCTTCATGCCTATCCATTACCCTACTCCCCTCCAGCAGAGTGCCGGGCCCAGGAGGTCAGGGATCCATGGTTCTTTGTTCCATGATATATAGCAAGGATTTAGAATGGGACCCCACACAAAGTAGATGTATAGTCAACAGTTGCCGAACGTATGAGCAAGTGAAAGACATTGACTTAGAACTGGCTGGTTGGAGGAAATTCCTTGGGTAGAGAATTAAGTGGTAGTGTACTGGAGGCTAGAGGTAGAAGTTAGATGGATCGCGTGTACTTGACCTGAGCTTCTAGGTTAGGAAGCCTCCTCTCATTCTCTCGTCCTGTCTACTGTGGAAAGGAGAGAAAGTACTGTGTGTGCAAAGTGTGTCTTCCTAGTATCTAGGATCATCCAGGAGATTTCTAAGACAAATGGGCAGGGATACCCATCCATGTGATGGGGGTCTATAGAACTGCACTGTCTCTCTGGGCTCAGTGGGTTATGCCTGCCATCAACCAACAGCATGATCAAAAAAAAGAAAGAAAGAAAGAAAAAGAAGAAAAGTAAAAAAAAGAAAAGAAAGAAAGAAAGAGTTCCTGAGAAGAGGATATGACAGAAAGAGTACAAGCCTCACTTTGCCTTTAATCCAGCACTCAGGAGGCCGAGGCAGGTGGATCTCTGTGAGTCTGCAGTCAACCTGGGTCTACAGAGCAAGTTCCAGACAGCCAAAGCTATACAGAGAAACCCTGTCATGAAAATCAAGACTATATTCAGACCATATTCAGTTTCCATTTCTCTCACTGGGCAGCAGGTCTGCAGCTGGGCTGTAATACTAGAAAAATGATACCCCAAGATGCCTTTGCCCTCATTCCCAGAACCTGCACTGGTTAGTTTTGTTTTTTTCAATTTGGCATGAGCCAGGGTCATTTGGGAAGAGGGAACTTCGTCAGAGAAAATGTCTCCGTTCCTTTGTCTGCTTCTGGGATGTTTTATTGATTAATTGTTGATGTGGCAGTGCCCAGCCTACTGTGAGCCATGCCACCCCTGGGTGAGTGGTTCTGGGTGGTATAAGAAGGCAGGTTGGGCCAGCCATGAGGGGCAGGTCAGTAAGCCACTCCCCTCCGTGGTTTAGCTTCAGTTCCTGCCTCCAGGCTCCTGCCTCGGCTTCCCTTCTTGGTGATCTATAAGGTAGAAGATGAAATAAACGCCTCCATCCTCAAGTTGCTTTGGGTGATGGTCTTTATCACAGCAACAGAAATCTAAGACATAAGCTATACTGCATGGCAAGGTGGCCTTGCCTGTGTTTTTATTTCGTTTTGTTTTGTGAAACAAGGTCTCTCTCGATCAGTGGTTCTCAAACTTCCTAATGCCGTAACCTTTTAATGTAGTTCTTCAGATTGTGGTGAACCCCAACCATGAAATCATTTTTCCTTAGTACTTCATAACTGTAATTTTACTACCATATTAATCATAATATAAATATCTGATATGCAGGGTATCTGATATTTGACCCCAGTGAAGGGAGTCATGACCCAGAGGTCGAGAAACACTGTTCTATATAGTCCTGACTGTCAGGGAACTCACTATGTAGATCAGGTTAACCCCAAACTCACAGATGCTTGCCTCTGCCTCCCAAGTGCTGGGATTAAAGGCAAATACCACTATGCCTGTGTGTTTTTTGAATACTATGTTTATATGTTTGTGTGAATCTCTCTCTCTCTGAAACAGGGTCTTACTATATAGCCCTGGCTAGTCTGGAACTCAATATGTAGACCAAACTGGCCTCAGATTCACAGAGATCTTCCTACCTGCGTCCAAAGTGCTGGGATTAGAGGCGTGTACCACATTACGGCAGCAATGGAAACTGAATGCCTTGAGCCTCTGTTTTCTCAGCTGTGAAATGGGAGGGAGTGAGGGTCCATGTGCTGACTGGTAGCAGCGGGTAAAGACAGTCAGAGTGTTCTCTGCAGTGTGAGGCTGGAAGTTGCTCTGACTGTGAGTTCCACTCCTTAACCAGAAGGACAGGCTTATCTCTCCTCCTAGAGTGAGGCGAAGAAGAGAACCACCAACGGCTTGGTACACACCAGGGTGCTAGGAACATTCGAGAACGGTGGGCCCTTCATTTTCGGTTCTGAGAAGTCACTCAGCAGTTGCCACACTCAAGATGAGAGGAGGGGGCTTCGGGGTGACGACAAATCCTTTATGTTAGATGTCTGTCCCTGTAGCTCAGCAAGCCTGGCCCTCCTAGATGAATTCAAACAGAAAAACATGCCAGGGAAGCCCTGTGACTTTTTCAGGTTGGGGTCTCTTCAGATGCCTCAGGCACTGGAAAGATTTCCACACTGCCAGCACCCCTCTTTCTTTTCTTTTCTTTGAGGGGTATTTCGAAACAGGGTTTTTCTGTGTAACAGCCCTGGCTGTCCTAGAACTAGCTCTGTAGACCAGGCTGGCCTCACACTCACAGCGATCCACCTGCCTCTGCCTCCCAAGGGCTGGGATTAAAGGTGTGCCCCACCACCACCCGGCAGGCACCCCTCTTTCTAACCTCCCTCCTTCTCTTTCTGCTTTATTCTCGTTGGCAGGTGAGCAGGGGGCTGGCCACTGAACTCACATGAACATGTAGGGTATGTGCTCTAAATTGAACACAAAAGTGCCAGGGCCTGCCTGTGCCAACCCCAGGGGTGCGGATTCCAGGCTTGGGGTGTAGCTTTGAGGTGCTCAGCATGGGCAAGACCTTGGCTTGATCCCCCAACACTGGAGAAACAATGCTTCAAAGCAGGCAGGTGGTGGCGCAGACTCTACTCCTTAAGGAGGGCCAAGAGCCACACATGTGGTTGACTACAAAAGTGGACAGGAGGCCACCACTTGCGTCCCAGCCCCAGTAGGCGGCTCCACTCCCCTCGGGAAGCACAGTATAAACCCCAAACAGTGGTGGCGCATGCCTTTAATCCCAGCACTTGGGAGGCAGAGGCAGGCGAATCTCTTAAATTCGAAGCCAGTCTGGTCTACAGAGTGAGTTCCAGGACAGCCAGGGCTACACAGAGAAACCCTGTCTCAAAAAACCAAAACAAACAAATCAACCCCAAAACACACACCAGCCACGGCTGAAGGTCTCTTAGGGGTCATTGAACCCAAATCCCTTGCCATACACTTGGGGGTACTGGGCCACAAACAGAAGAATCTCCCATCAACTTGTCACGATGGCAACAATGAGACCTCAGACCTTCTTCTTGGGGCAGAATGTATTCTATGCACCCAAGCTGTGGGAAAAGCAATACTAAGATTCCCAGACTGCCGCTGAGCCCCCCTGCCCCAATGACTGCAGCTCTATAGCTTGGCTGGCCCAAGCCATCCTGTTTATTGGAAGCCAGAGGGAATTATCGCAGAGGTAATCAAGGTCTCCCAAGATCAAGTACGAACAGCCACACTTCCAGATATTCACTCATTTATTTATTATTTATACCACACCCACTTCCAAAAAAGTGTTTGAGGTGGCTCCCCATAAAAGCCACACAAACGGTGTAACTATTCAAAAGAGAATAAACATCTAGATGGCTCAAGCTGTTCAGGATTTCAGGCTCCGGTGAAGGACCAAAGAGGGGTTTTGCTTTGTTTTGAGACAATATATAACCTAGGCTGATCGCAAACTTGAGATCCTCCTGTCTCAGCCTTTCAAATACTGGGATCTACAGGCTTGTGCCCCCATGACTGGCCCCAAAAGAAACCTTTGATCTCAGGTACTTAAACAGGTCAGCGTTTGAATGTGACCATTGAAGGGAGCCCAATCATTTCAAGGAATTCAAATGAGGGCACTGGCAGAGTGGGAACATGAGCACCGAAGGGAAGAACAACAACAACAAAACAAAACAAAACAAAACAAAAAAAACAAGAACAAGTATAGGAATCCATACACACTCGTTTTTCGTCTTAGCCCATCTTCTGTTGCCAGAACAGAGTATACAGAGGTCTAGCACAATATGGTGATTCAGGCCTGAAATCCCAGGGCTTAGGAGGCTAACGCAAGAGAATCAAAAGTTCATCAAAACCATTAAAAACAAAAACAAAAGCCAAAACATAGTGTGGTGGGGGCAGCGCTAGAGAATGGAAAATGTCGCTCATGATTCAGGACAGGAAACCCGTGAACATGACATTGGGGGAAGGATCATACTACTTCACGGGAGAAAGCAGAGGGATATGGGAAAGAAACAAAACCCAAGGCTAGGCTCACTAATCACCTTCTCTTGTAGTATTGAATTCTACCTGTGGAGTTGAGGAACACACTCCGGGAATTCCTCAAGGCCCAGCCCCAACAATAGCAACCAAGTATCAACATTTCACAGGAGAGGTCCTGATCACATATGGGAGTCCCTGGATTTGCTTCTCAACAACAAAAAGGAAAGCGAGCCTGTAGTATCACTCCAGCAGCATGACCAAGAGCCTATTATATATAAGCTGGTTTCTCCATGGAGATTGTTAACATCTAAAGCCTGCTTCTTTCTAGGAGCAGGAGCAATGAGGGCTGTGGTGGACATAGCTCCTCCCAGGTTCCCAGGCTGCACACAGCACACTCATGGAGCAGCACATACAACCTCCCGCCTGCCCACCCTGGCCGCGGTTGGCCCAGGTTGAGCCAGTCTCCACGGGGCCTCCTTTCTACCTACTGCGGTGGATGCTGCCACATTGCTGCCCAGGCCTATGGGTTCTGGCTCCCTGATCCTTCAGTCACTGGTGAAGAAGTATCCTACAGCAAGACAGAAGATTTGGGTTCAAACAGGGCACAGAATGACAGGTTAACTTTGATGGATGGGAGATGGCAGGAGATGACAGTAAGAGCCAGCAGCAGGCCAAGTTTTCCTGGTTTTTCTCTGCAGAGATGCCTGGTCCACAGCGCAACCAGCTGTGTCTCTTTATATGCTGCTCTCATGCACCCCCTTTTTTGTTTTTTTGAGACAGGGTTTCTCTGTAGCTTTGGGGCCTGCCCTGGAACTAGCTCTTGTAGTCCAGGCTGGCCTTGAACTCACAGAGATCCACCTGCCTCTGCCTCCCGAGTGCTGGGATTAAAGGCAGGCACCATCACCACCTGGCTCGGTCATGCTTTCCTTTCCCCTCCCTCCCAAATTGTGTTTTAAGTCCCAATAAAAATACTGCTCCCTGAACTTGACTTCAGCTTCTTTCCCCCTGGGTGACCTGGACCTAAAAGTCACTGTGTAGACCAGGCTGCTTTCACACTCACAGAGATACCCAACCCCTGTCTCCCGAGTGCTGGGATTAAAGGTACGCACCTTTTGGGTGTTTGGGCTTCCTTTTTGAGACAGCCCTTGCAGATTTTGACTGCAGATAAACGATTTGGAGGTCTATCTGCTTCCTGAAGAACAGGGTAAGGCCTGATGCTGCATTCTAGCAAGTTCCCAGCAGATGTCATTGTTACTGGTCCAGCAAAGTAGTAGAGTCCAAGGACAACGGAACCAGGATTCCTTCAGGAAGTTCATTCCCTCTTGTCTCTGGACAGAGCACTGACAGCTGTGCATTTACCTGGCCTCGGGTGGTTCCTCGCATCCGCTAACATTTTCTGAAAAGGAAAAAGAAAGACTTTCCATTTTGAAAAAGAGACGGTCCTGGGTAAAGGCCATGCCCCTCCTCTCATGGGCTGAGTGGAAAGTAAGGAGCCAATGAGGGAGGTGCAGCAAAGGGAGCTGACAGGAAGACCTCAAACAGGTTACAACTTCCCAGGTGAGGGGGTGGGGCTTATTGGTAAAGCACTTGTCTGTCAAGCCCAAGACTGTCAAACAATAAATATTTTAAAAGTAAACCACAAAGATGGGGCTGGGGGATAGATCAGCAGACAAAGTGCTCGCCTGACGAGCAGGACATGCATTAGAGCCCCGGAGCCCACAAAAAGCAGGCAGCACCTGAAGTCCGAGTGCACTCGAGAGAAGGAAACAAATCTGGTGGCTCAGCCTTTGTGAGTTCCAGGGCAGTGAGAACCCTGTCGAAAGAAACAAGGTGTGATTGGGCAGTGGTGCCGCACACCTTTAATCCCAGCACTTGGGAAGCAAAGACAGGTGGACCTCCGTAAATTCAAGGCCAGACTGGTCTACAGAGTAAGTTCCAGGACAGGCGCCAAAGCTACAGAGAAACGCTGTCTCATCCCATTCCTGGTTGGAACTGGCATAGCTGGCTCGACAGCCACAGGCGCACCACCACCACCACCACCACCACCACCACCATGAGAAAGTTCCTTAGAAAATTACTTAACCTTGCCCCAGGGACTTGAGGTAAAAAATGCCCCAACTAACTGCTGATTTTTGCTGAATAAAGACTTTCAAATCTCTCTGGTTTTGAGAGGTCCTTGGGCGTCTTTGTCCCATGACAATCTGAAGTTGTTTTCTGATCCTCACACATGTGCACACACGTTTGTACATGTGCACTCACATACACATGAACATGTCCACATATACAGATATACATGCACACAACCAAAAGATGAACAAATAAGCAAAAACAAATGATTGGGCCACAAGAGGAAAGGTGAGTGTTGAGGGCAAGTGTGTGTGCGTGTGTGTGTGTGTGTGTGTGTGTGTGGTGTGTGTTTGAGGACAGGGACATGGGATGATCCAAATGTAAAAGTAGGAAATCTGAATTAGTAATAAGACTTGCACAACCAGCATACCCTGGCGTGGTTTGGGCCTTCTCTTGCGTACTCCTTGTTTGTCAGGACCTGCTCATCTTTTTCTTCATGGCCAACAGAGAAAGTCACTAGTGGTGAGGAAAATCTAGGCAGAGAGCCTACCCTTCCATGGCACAGATGAGGGAGCTGTGGCCCCCAGAGGGCCTGAAGTCATGCCATAGAGTGAACTGGAGGTCAGTTATGTTGAACCTGGAAGCAGCATTCCCCACCCACAACCACCACAACCTTCATCCCCCATCAACAACCCCCTCCACACACACACACAGCTCTCCTTTCAGAACAACGGATGCCTATAATCAAACAGAGCAAAACAAAAGCCCCTGGGCCTACCTGGTTACAATCTCCAGAGAAAGAACCAACAGTGTTTGAAACTCATCAAGAGGGCCTGTTCCCCACAGTGAGGAAGTTAGAGATAAAATTCCTGAAATACTTAATACCTTGTAACACTCTTCCAGAACTCCCAAGAAACTAAACTTTAGTTTAGAATAAATAAATACAGGCCAGCTTTGAAGTAGTTGGAAGTAAGGGACATTTTGTGGGCCACAGAGGCGAAGGAGCTCTCCACAGTTTGAGAGGATTTGCAAAGTAAGAATTTTATAGACTTGTTACCACTGAGCCAAGATGACACACTCCAGACCCAGTCTCCCAGGATGGCCTGGGTTCAAATCCCAGCTTCATCAATTACCTGCTCGGGAAAGTCTTCAGAGCCAGGACTCTTGTGAAGATTAAATGAGGTTTGCCTAGCATGGGCAGGGCCTGGCTTCCATCTCCAGCCGTGCACGCACACGCACACACACGCACGTTAGTCATAGAATTAAATGAGTGAGTGTCCCAGGCCCAGAGTGGTGGCAGCTATCTCTGTCAGCTCCAGCCATTTGGTGGGGAGAAACAGCCCACGCTCCCCAGCCTGATTGGACCTCCTTGCTTTTAGGGCACTCTCCGTTGGGTAGATGCATACAGTCTTGCTCATAAATACAGTCCATAAGCCAGAAGTAGCTGTCACGTGGGCGATGGGTAGGAAGCCGAATCGAGGTCCCACCCAAACCTGCTAAAGCAAGTATTCTTTATTACTTATTCTACCAAGATACCTGGCATGGATTCTGGCTAGTCTGAAACCCTAGGGAACTCAGGAATAGGCCACTAGGCAGACCACTGTTTGTTTTCTTTGCAGCCAGAATCCCTCTGTCCTGTGGCCTGTCTTTCCACGCCCCTGCTTCCCACGGGACTGTGTGTCATTCCAGTTCTCTGTCTCTTGTTTGATCTGACAGGAGGTGTAGGCACATGGAGACCCTGGCCTGACCCTAGGGAGACCAACAGCAGGGAACTGGTGGGACATCTTCAGTAGGGCCTCAGCTTTGCCTCCATGTGATCCTTTCCAAATCCCTGTGGTTCACTGTTTCCCCCACCCAAGCCGGTCACGGGGCTGGCTGTGGGTGAGTAACCCTCAGCACCCAGTGCTGAAAAGCTGAGATCAGCTAATCCTTCAGTGAACCAGGGAGGGACCATCCATTTGTTCCTGATAATTCTCTCCACTGACAGGTTTTCTAAGTGGCACCAGGGCTTCCCAGCTTCAAGGGGCCGTATGCTCTAGAAGTTCAGGGACATCTCTGTGTTGCCACTTAAACAAGTCTGTTGATGCCTCTGGGCTCTCGTGGAACTAGATGGAAAGTGAGAGAAGCTCTCTTGGGCTTCTCTGCTTAGGATAAGCATGACCAGGTCAGTCGGAAAGAAAGATCTGGAAGGTCAAGCTGGGAAACTCTGACTTGGTGCTCTAAACTTCTGCTAAACTAGAAGCCCTGTGAACCCTTGAAACTTGCCAGCAAAGGTTTGAGCTGTTCTCAGAGTATAAAATGCATAGCCCATTGTAAAGGCTTCACGTGTGTGAACAACAGTCAGGTGGTGGTGGCACACGCCTTTATTCCCAGCACTTGGAAGGCAGAGGCAGGTGAATCTCAGTGAGCTCGAGGCCAGCCTGGTCTACAAAGCAAGTTCCAGGACACCCAGGACCCACAGCAAAACACTATCTTCAAAACAAAACAAAACAAAACAAAAAAAACAAAAAAAGGAACAAAAGTACCACATTAATGTTAGGTTAATTGCCTGTTGGAATAGTAATATTTTAGACACGTTGGGTGAAATAATCTACTTCATTAAAGTTAATCTCACTGGTTTTTCAAGAAACAGTATTTTTATTATATTTTTATCTGTGTTTAGCCTGCATGTATGTCTGTGCACTACATGTGTGTCTTGTGCCCTTGGTGGCCAGAATTGGGTATCAGCCCCATGAAATGGAGTTACAGACAATTATGAGCCACCATGTGGGTGCTAGGAATCAAACCTAGGTCCTCTGGAAGATCAGACTTTTAATCACCATCTCTCTAGATCCTGGCTTATTTTTATTTTATTTATTTGAGACAGGGATTCTTTGTGTAGTCCCGGCTGTCCTAGAACTCGATTTGTAGACCAGGCTGGCCTCGAACTCAGAGGTCTGCCTGCCTCTGTCTCCAAGTGCTGGAATTAAAGGCATGCACCACCACTACCTGGCCCTGGTTTCTTCTAAAAAAAAAAATTAATGTGTCTCCACACTTAAAATATATTAAAACACACCAACATTGTATCCTACAGATATTGAATACTTCTCAAAGATGGCAAGGGAAGAATTAGAGGGAGATGTAATTTTGTTTGGTTTAGAGACAAGGTCTCATGTAGTACTGGCTGTACTGGAGCATACTATGTAGACCAGGCTGGCCTCAAACTCAGGAAAATCATCCTGCCTCTGCCTCCAGAGTGCTGGGTTTAGAGGCGTGAACCACCACACTCGAATGAGATATAGTTTAGATTGGGTCTCTGCGGAGATCACAAATTCATCCTTAAGGAAAGAACTCACCAAGGAGCAGGAACACTTTCAGAGTGTTTTCTTCCCCTTCCTTCCCCTATTTCTTTTTAGAGATCTAGAGTTTTCAAGGCTGATCTAAGATCTCTAGACTTGAGAAATCCTCCTGCCTCAGCTCTCAAGCACCTAGAACTAGAGGCATATGTACCACCATCTGAGTCCCAGGTTTTGCCTGTACTTCCCCAACAACCGGCAGCATTTAAGTGTGCCACCTGTTGAACAATAGATATTTGGGGCATGACTTATGGTTTGTTTTAATCCCCTGTTAGTTGAGCCTCAAGCCCAGGTCTCTGTGATGTAAGAATTATTGTTCATGTCCTACTTAAATCACATGGCAGAAAGATAAATAAAGACCCAGAGTAAAGAGACACGCTAATCTGAAAAGATGTTGCAATACGTTTTTCTGACACAGTGGTTTTTTTGTGTGGCTTAAAGCCTGGACACAGTGTTAGCAAAGGTAGACAGGAAGAAAGCTAGCAGCCCAGCTTTGGTGAACAGACTTTTCTCTCGTGGAAGCCTGCAGCCACTGGACATGTGGATTTGGGGAATGCTGTGGGTGTTCCTGGTTTGATTGCCAGGCTGGCTTCTGATGAGATGCCAGCCTAATAGACAGTTCTAAGGCTGTCTCCCTTGAACGCGTCCAGCCCATGCTCTGACCAGGTGTCTGTTTAGGCAGAGAGCCACGGTGCTGGCCAAAGGGGAAAACACAAAGCAGGGAGTCACGTGCATGAGCTTGCGTTCTGGGCTTCCCGTGGTCCCAACTGCAGCCCTGCGTCCACTCATTGTCCAGCAGCTCCAAGCAGGGCCTCTGCTCTAGGACTTTCTGCCCAGTTCTCTGGCTGTGGGGGGGGAGGGTGGTCAATAAGTTCTCATCCCTGGGTATCTGCTCCTTGCCATGTCCCATGGGGCACCAGGACTGCATGGCCTGTGTCCTTTGTGCGGAAGTTGCCTGGGCTATCTAAATAATCTACCCTGTTTAGTGTTTTGGAGAGGGACCAAACTTCCTTCCCCTGCTCTCATGACACAAGCAAATCAATCTCCCCAAAATCCCAGCACTA